CAAGTCAAGTCACCTTTATTTATATAGTGCTTTTAACAATACAGATTGTGTTAAAGCAACTGTACAGCATTAATTAGGAAAATGTCAATAATAATAGTAAACACTCAATTTTCAGTTAAAGGCAGTTCATCATTGAATTGAGTGATGTCCTCATCCAGCTCAGTTCAGTTTAATATCGTTGACTTGATTGCAAGCCAGAGGAACCAAAACTCCATCGGTGACAGAATGGAGAAAAAAACCTTGGGAGAAACCAGGCTCAATCGGGGGTCCAGTTCTCCTCTGACCAGACGAACCAGCAGTTCAATTCCAGGCTGCAGCAAAGTCACATTATGCAGAGGACTCAACTGGTTCCTGTGGTCTTGTCCCGGTGGCCGTCTAGGAGACAAAGTCTTCACTGGGATCTGTCTCTGGGGCTCATCTAGTTGTCCTGATCTCCGCTGACATTCAGGACTGTAGATGTCCTCTCTAGATTCTGATCCACCAACTGGGCTGGATACGGACTGGATCTGGGTGACTGCAGTGACCATCTAGTCGTGGAGGACTATAATGCAATAAGAGCTGGTTCAAATACTGAGGTGCTAAACCATTCCGGGCATTATAAGTAATAAGATAGATTTTAAAATATATACAATGCTTAATAGGGAGCCAGTGCAGTGTTGACAGAACCGGGCTAATATGCTCATACTTCCTGGTTCTAGTAAGAACTCTAGCTACTGCATTTTGGACCAGCTGGAGTTTGTTTATTAAGCGTGCAGAACAACCACCCAATAAAGCATTACAATAATCTAACCTTGAGGTCATGATTGCATGAATTAACATTTCTGCATTTGACATTGAGAGCATGGGTCGTAATTTAGATATATTTTTGAGATGGAAAAATGCAGTTTTACAAATGCTAGAAACGCGTCTAGAAAGGTGTGAATACACCCATAATGTGTTGGTGAAGTCCTATTAAAATAATGATTATGAATGAGTATTAGGATGCAGGCATGCATGTTGTACATATTTGAACCTAATTTAAACATCCTTACTGAAGCGGAATTATTTAATTAGAAAAATCATATTTAAATAGAAATAATAGGTACCTTGAAAACAGTAGAAATATCTTGAAGACAGCACAGGAAGCTGTAAATGTTGTCTATTCTGTAATATGGTCTCCTTTCTATATATTAAATATAGTTCTTGGTGCATTTAACTTTTTGAAATAAAAGCAGCATTGCATAGTCATGGTCTGCTTCAATTAGGGGTTGCACCGACTAATCGACTTCAATGCTCTGCCATGACGCTTTATGCTTGACGTTGACTAGTCACTGGTCATATAGAGGGTGCAACAGGATAAGAAATCTTTGAAGGACTTCCACAATTGTGATGCAAAATCCGATTCATTTCCGCAGACTGGTTCTTTTCGGACAGATCGGCTCATTGAACCAGTTCAAAAAGCAGATTCATCGGTTCCTGACGTCATCAGGCAATAACATCTCTACGCATGAACCGGTTCAAAAAGCAGATTCATCGGTTCCTGACGTCATCAGGCAATAACATCTCTACGCATTTCTTTTCTAACAACTCAGTGCCATGTTGTATCAAAGAAAAATACAAAGTCATTTGTGTCAACACATATTGAAGCATTCAAAAAAAATAGTTATTTGTGTGAAAGCATATTGCTGATTATTGCCATATAATTCACTTAAGTTAATGGTACGTGTTTGTGGTCACAGTTTCATTCGCGGATCCTTATGTCAGATACGATTGACTGACCAATATTGACTAGCCTACAACTTGGATAAGATTCCTAAAAGTTTCACACGTAGAGCACACATTACAGACATTGATGCTCAAACGCAGATATGTTCTTCATGTCTACAGTATAAAGAATGAATAAACCAGTCTTATAAACTCCTTGATTTCACTTAAGCACCTTTAAATATATTATGCATGCACAAGAAACTATTGTAAAATTTACAATCACTAAACAAAAGGTCTTTGCAGGTCTTTTAAAAATGTAAATTAATAACAGTCAGGGGTGTAAATTTCGTCTAACAGTAGGGGGGGGGGGCAATAAAAATTTCTCGAGCAATTTTTGAAGGGGACACAAATAATACAGCTAACATTGTAATTGTAAGGCTATGTATACACAGAGGAATGGCTTACTACTATTAGTGCAGCAGGGAGGCCATGCCAAATTAGACAACTTGCTGTTGTCGTGCCGACACAGCGCTCGTGTCCGTTGTGTCCATCACAGTGTTGCCAAGTTCACAGTTTTCCTGTGGAATTGGGCTACTTTATCACGGTTGCCGCGGGTTGTTTTTCCATGTCCGCGGGTTGAAGCGACCCCAATAGCGTGTATTTTATCCCCCGGAACGCAATTTTTACCGGGCGACCCCCTCGAAACACGGATAGGAGTTTGGGCTAGTTTTGAGTAGCAATTGGGCGGGTTTTGTTATGAATACCTGGCAACCCTTTCCCTCAAGCAGGTAACGTTATTATTGCTAACATAGTGCACTCATTGAAAAATACATTGGCAGCATCTGTATTAAAGAGAAAATCACGTCATCCGATGTTTAAGTGAATAAAACCGCCTTACTTACTGGAGTTCCACGACTATTGGCCTTGTTCTCTCTCACAGGAGAGTGTGAGTGTAGGTGATGTAAAAGAGGAAAGCAGGCATTTGGACCAAAGCACTGTGAGGCAAGGGAGGGGGAGACTCAATGTTTCTAAACTTAAAATGCATTTTTGCCCCGTTTGTGTTGTTTTACTACTTACACAATTATTTAAGGTATAAAACATTGTTATTTACAATGCACAGCGTGGTTTTTAAATCATATTTTTAGGGGGAATAACCCTTAAATGGGCTTCCACCGGGATTTCCACCTATGCGGACTGTAAGGAGGACGTTAGAGGGACGAGAGATGTGCGGATCCATTTGCAAAGCTTTATTCATTAGAATGGTCAGAAACAGGCGAGGGTCAGACAATGGCAACAGGTATATTGAGGGCAAGACACAAGAGTAATCCGATAAACAGGCGTAGGTCGATCAACAGCGAACAATCCAAAGGGCATGACAAAACAGCAAGGCAAAGGGTTAATCCAAGATACACAGGCAGAAGATCAGAAAACAGGCAAGGCAAGACTTTGACTAGACTAAGGAAACTAGAAACTTCACCTGTTAACCCGCACCTGGACGCCAGCACACTGAACGCTCTGTTTGCATGTGTCACCATTATATAAAAAGTAGCTACTTAAATTATACTTAAACCGATACAGTACAGAAAAATTAATTTTAAAATTTTACTTTTTAAAAAAAATAAAATAAATAATAAATGGGATAAATGTGCAAAAATGGGCCAATATTTTTTCCTAAATGTCCAGGTCTCAGGGAGAGGAACTTAAAGTACTGATGCCAGAAAGCGGTTATGTGAGAAAACAGCCAAATGATACCAAAAAACCCCAACTCTTCAAATCAAGCAATTTTCTTTTTATTTGAGGGAAGGGTGGGTGAGTGAGCGGAAATCTTTCTAAACTGTTTGAGCAAACAGGGAAAACATGCCATATGAATAAAGCACTGAATTGAAAAGATATCCAGTGTTATTCCCATGACCATATCAATGACCACATCCCTGACAATTTCCCTGTCCACATCGCCGACCATTTCCTCGACCACATCCCTGACCATTCCCTTGACCGCTTCCCTGTCCTCTTCCCTGGCCGCTGCCCTGTCCAGAACCGCTTCCCTGTCCAGAACCGCTTCCCTGTCCGCTGCCCTGGCCGGAACCACTGCCCTGGCCCTGGCCGTAACCCCTTCCCTGGCCGCTGCCCTGGCCATCACCGCTGCCCTGGCCATAACATTTTCTTTTTATTTGAGGGAAGGGTGGGTGAGTGAGCGGAAATCTTTCTAAACTGTTTGAGCAAACAGGGAAAACATGCCATATGAATAGAACACTGAACTGAGAAAGAAAAAAAAAAACCTGGTAGGTGTTACGCAAAATTCCCATGACCGTATCAATGACCACATCCCCGACCGTTTCCGCAACCACATCCCCCACCATTTCCTTGACCACATCCCTGACCTTGATTGCTTCACTGACCGTCATCGCTTCCCCGACCATCACCGCTTCCCTGAGCAGGACCGCTTCCCTGACCACCGTCACTGCTTCCCTGAGCAGGACCACTTCCCTGAGCACCATCTCTGCTCCCCTGACCGCCTCCCTGACCAGGACCGCTTGCCTAAGCAGGACCGCTTACCTGACCGCCTCCCTGACCAGGACCGCTTACCTGAGCAGGACCGCCTTCCATGACCATAACCGCTTCCCTGACCACTTCCCGGACCATGAACACTTCCATTACCTTTTCCCAGACCCTGACCGCTTCCCTGACCATAACCGCTTCCCTGACCCCGACCATGACCGCTTCCATAACCACTTCCCTGACCATAACCTCTTCCCTGACCATAACCGCTTCCGTCCGCTTCCCTGACCATAACCCCTTCCCTGACCATATCCACTTCCATGACCATATCCTTGTGGTTGGGCAACATCTCTGTGTGGCAGGACACAGTCCATAATGGAAACGGCTCTCAGCACACAGTGGAATGTTCTTCGGGTCGGGACACTGACCCGGCTTCACTGTATGGACAGTCAGCTTTAGTTTATGCACATACACTCACGCAGTATGCCACTTCAATATAAAGCATGAATAGCAATTTTTACCTACAGAGTGAATTATATTCTAAGTATAATTCCTCTTTATTTTGTAAAGCCATCCTGTGTTTAAAACTATCCTAAGGGATTAAATTCAAACCTACTTTAGACGAGAACAACAAGACAATTTATCATCAACTGATCAAAACATCATAACACAAATACCTGCATATGGAGCAGTACAGTAACGTCCACATCCATTGCTGCAGCACTTCTTATTGTTGGGACAGTTAGAGGCACTCCTACAGGACCTGGTACACGATCTTCTTCCAGATGATTGGGGTGGACACTCTCCTGGCTTTGCCGTTATACAGACACATGACAGAAGGCATCACTGAATGTGGAACACTTCCATTCACTTAAGTTAGAAGTTTTACATAACATTTCGGTCTCTGCTTAACTTTTTGGAGGACCACCTATCATCCATTATTAACTGAAACAGGCGGCACGCAAACAGGCCCACAGTCAAATTGACAGCATTTGTGTCCTCCAGAGCAGTTTCCATCAGAAGAACATCCTCGACGGGACGGCACGACCATCAGCTTCGCCGGACAGTAACCGCCCACTAGAGGATTCAAGAGGATCATTAGGGGAGGCCAGGGAGTGCGGTTTCAGCATTCACAAATCAGGGGTTTTGCAATGGGTCTCAAACCTTAGTACAAATTTTTCATATTTTTCTGCTCCAAATTAAAAGCATTTTAAAACCTACTCATTCCTAAACGGTGTTAATTACTTTCAAAGACTGAGAGTCACTTATTTCTGCATTGCTTCAGGCTGTGTAATGAAGTCAACAGATCTTCTCACCTGTGGTTCGAGTAGCGTCTGTTACGCTCAAGTATCCGAACAGACACGATAAAACAGCAATCAACAAGCAATACACTCGAGCTGTCATCCTCCAGTCCTGCAATCTCACAATGATCTCCGCTGGAAAATGTGCTGAATTGGTGCGTCAGGAGCAGCGGACAGCAAAGCGCACAAAACTGAAACAAATAAACGTGTTGCTGCAATAGCAGCCTCTGTAATATGTGGTTTTAAAGATCCCAGGAGATCAGGTCAACTCCAACCCTGATCAAACTCACCTGCCTGTAGCTTTCTAGTAATCTGACTGGAAGGCCTTGATTAGCTTGTTCAGGTGTGTTTGTTTGGTGTTGGATCAACTGAATGCTAGGCTTCATCACATAAATGCTGACTTTAAAAAAATCAGAAGTCATTCAAACCCTAGCTTTAATCTACATGAATATGTACTAAGGACTCCTGTAGAGCAGCACTGAAGCTGGGATTCAATAGAACTCTATGGTAGTCTATTCATTAAACATCCATTGAACATTTAAACTTTCAATCACTATGTTTCGTCTCAACTGGAAGCCTGGCTTATCTATTTGATGATTGGATGAGCTGTTAAATAAGCCTGAGCGACCAATAACTGAACCAGTGATGTACATGATTCACAGCAGGCCTGGATTAACACAGTGTAGTGCCCTAGGGTGACCACATTTAAAGTGCCCCCCCCATTTTGGATGTGGTTCTACAAAACGTACATTTACTTACTTTTTTACAGGCAATAAAACGTACAACACTGACGTATTTTCTGCAACTAAACGTACACATACTTACGTAATTTCAGGATTTAAACATACAGAAATGACATTTTGATGACACCTAAAAATGAACCTTTATGAATATTGAAATCGCTTCATTCATTTTATCATTGTTGTTGTTTTTATTTGTCATATCAATGACCTTATGTTTTCAATTGCATTATTAAATTGTTTACTTGCTTAATATGAAATGCGCTGTAATCAAAATCTTCCGAATCCATACGACTGCGGGGAACAGACCCAAATCAAAGCCTTTATTCGTCGATCTTCATCTCCATCCCGAGCAGCGAGTCCAGCGACCGTAAACAGCAAACCCCGCACTGACTGACGGGCTCTTTACAAATTCAAATGTTGCTGCTTCAAACTACAGGTTTTACGGCAGGAATAATCGGGATATTTTCAGTGATTAACAACATAAATTCTGCTCTGCACCTCACAAACCTTCTGTATTCCGCCAGAGAGGACTGCGACTGCAATGCATCGTCATTTGGATTACTTTTGGTACTGCTTTTGACATTTTTGCAATAAATAAATTATTGTAATTGCATTTATCTGTCTGTCATGTTTTTCTTATACTGTACAGAAATAGTTATGTTTAGGTTTGGAGGTAGGAGTAGGATTAGCGACTATAAAAATATTTTTAATGCTATTGTTACTAAAATGGTTATTTTCCTACATATTGCAGTCAATTGCGTTTTATATCCTTTTATATTTGCTATAAAATGGGTAGGTTTAGGTTTGCGGGTAGGTTAAGGGGTCGTACAACACTGACGTATTTTCTGCAACTAAACGTACACATACTTACGTAATTTCAGGATTTAAACATACAGAAATGACATTTTGATGACACCTAAAAATGAACCTTTATGAATATTGAAATCGCTTCATTCATTTTATCATTGTTGTTGTTTTTATTTGTCATATCAATGACCTTATGTTTTCAATTGCATTATTAAATTGTTTACTCGCTTAATATGAAATGCGCTGTAATCAAAATCTTCCGAATCCATACGACTGCGGGGAACAGACCCAAATCAAAGCCTTTATTTGTCGATCTTCATCTCCATCCCGAGCAGCGAGTCCAGCGACCGTAAACAGCAAACCCCGCACTGACTGACGGGCTCTTTACAAATTCAAATGTTGCTGCTTCAAACTACAGGTTTTACGGCAGGAATAATCGGGATATTTTCAGTGATTAACAACATAAATTCTGCTCTGCACCTCACAAACCTTCTGTATTCCGCCAGAGAGGACTGCGACTGCAATGCATCGTCATTTGGATTACTTTTGGTACTGCTTTTGACATTTTTGCAATAAATAAATTATTGTAATTGCATTTATCTGTCTGTCATGTTTTTCTTATACTGTACAGAAATAGTTATGTTTAGGTTTGGAGGTAGGAGTAGGATTAGCGACTATAAAAATATTTTTAATGCTATTGTTACTAAAATGGTTATTTTCCTACATATTGCAGTCAATTGCGTTTTATATCCTTTTATATTTGCTATAAAATGGGTAGGTTTAGGTTTGCGGGTAGGTTAAGGGGTCAAAAATCTAAATCGCTTATTGATAAAATAATTTAAATGCATCAATATGAATATCTTAATGATATAAAAGATACGTAAATATCTTATGTTTTTTAGCTAAAAATATGTAGCGATTTGTACGTTTTAAACGTTGAAATACGTCTAAATTGTACGTGCTTGTAAATGTTACATATTAATACCTACGTATAAACAATGAGACCAGGCTGGACCTGACCCAATCGCAATTCTTTATATATGCATATATTTTATATTCTCTCTGTATATATTGTATCATTAACTGTTCATTTTGTATCTGCATCTTTTCCAGCAAAATAATATGTATACAAAACATGACAAATATTTTAAAGGTCTAGTCATTATCTTAATCACTTGGTGCCCCCTTATTGGCTGGTGCCCCAGGGCACTCGCCCAATCCCGTCTATTGATAATCCGGCCCTGATTGACAGCATTTGTTATTTAAATACATCGCTGTACACAAAGTGATCTAAACACTCAGAGGGATACACAGTCTGCCATGATTGTTGTAGGAATAATGAATTTCACTCTTAAAAATCTGTACAAATCCTGTTTCTAGAAACCAGAATATAACTCGAGACAGTAAACAACACAGAAATCACATAGAACAGGCATACACCATTAACATTTTATGCACAAAGTGGAAAAAAATGTACAGTAGCTGTACACTACTTATTTATAGCATTTTTTTCAAGGTACTCTGCATATATAATTGTTCACATTGAGAAGTGACATTAATTCACTAGTGACATTCAGCACACAATAAATAAAATCAGAGCATAGACACCACTCTGTGCCCAGCCGTCAGACAGCTTTAAAACCTGTCACTGTTTGTCTGCCTGTGTGTGCTGCCATCCCCCTCCATGTTCGGACGCAATGGCAGCAGTTGCAGGACGCTCGTGTCCCCCTGGTATTTGTTAGGAGGACAGCATCCTGCCAGTTGAGCTTTCAGATGAGGGTTAGTGTCAGGGGTCTCTCTCTCATCCTGGTCTTTCACTGCCCACCTGTCTGCCCTTGCCTTTCAAGGAGATGGCATGAGGGAACACAAGTTTTATGGGCTTAGAGACCGTGGACAAAAGGACTTATTGGACACAGACTGGGCAAAAAATGAACATACAATTAAACAATAGAGATGTACAATATTTAAGGGATAATGTACAGTAAGCTGATCATTATTGTTGGAAAAAAAGTATAATACATATTTAAATTTGAGCATGTTAATGAATAGGACATTGTTAATATATTTGGTCTTGGTGGACTAGATCTGCTTCGCATGCTGATGCTGAGCATGTATGGACCCGCTACTGGTAATAGATACACAGACACATTGCTGTGAGCATGTAAGATATGCTGTTGTTGCTGCCTGAATAATAACCATATATATAAATCCCATAGCAGATATAGACAGGTGGTGCTGGGGGAGGTGGAGGGTTTCAGGGAAACTCTGACAGTGCTGCAGGACCAACTTACAGCAAAAACTGAACCAGACTATTGGAATGTTGAAATGAAAGCAAGCAATCTCATTGACTGTACAATCAGCAGAAGCCAGTCAGTTTGTGCCACGTAAATTACGTGATTGCATGTGAAGGACCTATCAGCCTGTGCCATATAGAGTTGCATGACAGAACTTATTTTGTGTTTGTGGCCTCAAATTTGTCACCATAAAATTACTGAAGTTCCCTGAGGCCATTTTTACACAGTAACCATATCATAAGATGCCACTATGTTAAGACTGTGTCTGATAGATATATAAATAGATAGATAGATAGATAGATAGATAGATAGAGATAGATAGATAGATAGATAGATAGATAGATAGATAGATAGATAGATAGATAGATAGATATAGATAGATAGATGACAAACATTTAAGACTAGTTTAAGCAGTTTATGCAACCAGCCCCAGACTGGTACAATTTTAGTCTGACTGAAATCAAACTGTGAAACTTTTTTTTCATTTTGGATCAGCATCTCTTGTAGAATTAAAGTCTTGGTCAGTCTTCATTTGACCTTTTTGTCAGTGATGATGGAAAAAAAAAAGAATAGTTTGTTTGTTGGTCCATGAAATGGTTTAACTGCAATCTTTTAAAATGTATGCCTAAAGTTTTAAATAAATTATTTTAAAAATTAACACTTTGATGTTTAAAAATACTCTACTGATTTGTAATATAAATTTGACCACAAATCTCATGAAAGCACATCTAAAAATATTATACTTTGTGCCTGCTCTGAAAGATTGCCTCCCAGAAATATAACGGCTGCAATCTCAGCACTTCTGATTAAGGAACACTCTCAAGCCAATAACATGGAAGCTCATCTGAAGTGAGATTACGGGCGCTCGGCACTGACCTATATAGATAGCCCAAGGAAGCCGTCTGCTCACATGGCATTGTGTCTGGTGAAAGGGCATTAGCTGATTTTGCACTTCATGAGTCCGTCTGCATTAATGTTGGGCCTTTTCCTCATGCGGCCCACGAACGGCTGGATGGTAGCGGTGTTGGCATATGTTTCCCAGGGTGAGGCCCGGCCTGCATTGTTCTGAGCGGATGTCAGGATGCATTAGGGTCAGCTGGGCTGTGCTGGGAAACCCCCTGCTCAGAGATGCTGCTTTCATACCTGCTAATTACATTCAGACGGCCAGCGGTGAAGACACATGTGAGTACAGACACAGGTGGAGCTGTGCATGCAAGTGCTGCAGCTGGTAACTTTGCAAAAAGAGAAGAACAACTACAGAACTGAAGACAAATTATAGCATATTAAGATGAAGTAGCCCTCCAGTAACTGTATGTGTGTGTGTGTGTG